CAAATTTTGAAAGAGGCGAAAAAAATTTACTTTTATGAGTCCTCAATAAATAATCCAGAAATTTCTGAAAACTTTTCGAGTAATACTGGTAGATAAGTATAAAATACCAGACCAAATTTAGTTGTTGGCAAAGGAATTACTATGGAGATCAAATCGACTCAATATGTTTAAATATTTGTGTTATATAGCCTAGGATATCTTAGTCGCTATTTTTTTCATTTGTCACAGAGCTGCAACTCTTACCACGTTCATCTTGGGATATATAGAAAGTTTGATTGGACATTTAGTCGCGTTCATAATGCCCTTTACAAAGCTTAACCAAGTGGACGCAAACGTTGTATATAGAAAATGAGGGACGAACTCGAATGCGCGCGTGTGAGAGAGAGAGAGAGAGAGAGAGAGAGAGATGGAGAGGGTGAGGGAGAGCAAGTTGAGCAAACTCTTTGGTGGTGCTGTTACTGCTACGAGGAGAAACTTACTCATTAATGGATTGGAAGTTAGATGTGTTTCGCCTTGGCGATATAATCTACATCAGTTCTGGTTGTGCGGACGAAGACGAACGAGAAGCCTGCGCGCGAGTTAACGTGTGTGCATGTGCGCGGGCGAGGGTAAACTGCCAGCAACAGCTATTCGACGAGAAGCCCGCCACGCGTGTATAGTTACAATTTACACGCACGTGTGCATGTCTCATGTGTGTATATAGGCAGAAATAGCAGAAGCAGCGATCGGCGAGGGTCCATCAAGACAGCGCGCGAGACGCATATTTGAAATTTGCATGCAAATGAGCTTCATAGATTATTTCTATACGTATATAGTTACGACACTTGCGAGCTGTACTTGACGCGTTGGATGCAAATTTGCACGGGGTTCGAGCTGCCTCTGCATTTGCTGCTGCTGCTGCTGCCGATGACGATCTCGTGGAGAAGATGTGTTTATAGCGCTTGATCGCTCCCAACGATGCGTCGATCGAATACCAAACGAGGGAGGGATTCAGCTTTACATTTGACGACATCGCCAAGAGGGATTATCATCATTTAAAGGGATGGACGTTTTCAAAATTACTTTAACTAATTTATATTCTGTAAAAGTTTCATTTATGAGGTCTTTGCTGGAGCATTCTTTTTACATTGATTAAATTCATTAAACAGCGGTATAGAAAATCTTAACGTTAGAAATATTCTATTGAGGAATGAACAGAAAAATAAGATAGTGTACAGTTAATATCATTAAAATTGCAATTGTCATACAGTTTCAACGCCGTTAATGATTCAATCTCGGTGACGTTTGCGGCGACCAGTTTAGTTCGGTGTCGCTCTGGCCTCATGAACGTTTTACAGCGCTAACAGCTATAGTAAAATAGCTGAACAAAAGAGCCAAGCCTCAGGATATATTTTGAAAATAAAACGTCCGTCAGGTCTGAGCTACCGTGCACACCTCAAGACAGTCGGTTTCTAATTGCTCTCACGAGCTTGAACTTATCCCGCTGCAAGGCAGTTTTATCGTCTGAAGCGATCGAAACTTTATCCCTCGAATGATCTGGACGCGTGTCACTGTCTCTGCGCTTACGCGTCTTTTCTTAGGATATGCATGCACACATAACGAACGGGGCTTTCTCCTTATACCCTCGTATCTCCCCTAGGTGTATCTCTTGGCTCCGCGTGCTGCACTCGGATACAAGCAAATGAATAATAAAATTTCGTTGAATAAATTAAGAAGTCAATTTGCAGTTGATCATACATGTCAGCTAGATTTTATAGATCACTTTTACGCGGTGTATACCTAAGATATTACGCAACGCGTCACGTACACATGTGCGCGTATGTTCATAATATTGCCGGAGCCTACAATAGTTGTGGTAGCAGCAGCAAGCGTGCGCGTAATGCTAATTTCTCTTTGAGTTTGGTTACGTTTTAAAAACATTAATTGCGCGCCGCGCAGCTACATGCGTGCGCGTATGTACGTGGAATAGCAAGTGTACCCATGCACATACGTGCGTCACATAGGAGTTCAAGCCGCACGTAAAAATTGCATACGTACGCCATCCTTATATTCATTGCCAGAGCGAGCCCAACGATAGAAAGGGTTTTGCGTGAAGCCTGCGGCTTTATCGCTCCGTAAGAGCTGATCGGAACACGAGCGCTTTTGCGCTGCGTCGACTTTGTATGTATGAAATATGAACTATTCATAAATCCGGCAACTTTTCAAAGCATTGAAACTATTTGGTTTTGTAAAAAGGTTTTTCCACTGGACAGTATTCATAGCTGTAAATAGTAAGTAATCCCTGAAATACTCACTTGATTTAGAGGATTCTTGATTTCTGAGGGAAGTCTTGAAACGTGTAGCATTCGCCGTGAAACTTGGAAATATTTATAAGTTTTCAAATGTGTTCAAAAAGTAGTTCAAATGTATTTCATGTTACTTTTGTTTTAAGGCTGCAACTTTTCAATTCGCGATTATGGCCATAAAATAACGTAAAAATTAATGGAATGTAAGGATGTAAGGTTGAGAGGTATTTTAAATGAGTGCTCTGTTTCAATTATAGAAAAACATTTACATATTTATATTTATATATAAAATATAATACAATTTATTACAGTTTAGATGATAGTATAGCATTTATCGAGTACACTTATCATCTTCATTAATTTCATTAACGCTTAACAATGCACAACGTTAATTTTCATTTGTTCGACTCCTTTTACTCCGTTTACATAGGTTTTTATTTTTGCTATTTAGGTCAGTACAAATCTAGGATCTGTTTCCGTGGAAGGACAGAATGGGCCGGTACATATATATTTTTTTATATAACATACACACGTAATATATTTTCTAAGTCTGTTGGTTTTATATAGTTAAAACGAAGTTTCACCTAATTTTATCGAGACAATCGTGCTCGTTTACTTAGTTGAATGAAAAAAGAAGATTGGCAAAAATATACATCGATGAAACGTGTATGTTATTGTGATGTATTAAAGTACTTACAACAAGAAGGTAAAAGAAATAGAACAGTTGAAAAAATGTGTGGACTTTACCTACGATTTACTATCACGAATCGCATGTTATCTATATAATACGACTATATATACAGAGTATTTATTTTCTCTCGTTAATTTTCGTTATTTACACTCATTCATACGCATTTTAGTCTCATTCTTGCAATTTAATACTCACATTCATGCTTAACGTTTGTTTCACTTTGAATATTCGCTTCGCGCTAGTTATAAATAAGCGTTTTTTGAGCTCCCATGTCGATGAAATCGACTCTGTTATTTTTCACGAGGCTATGTTTCACAAAATAATTACCAACAATAATTTATCTATCCTCAAAAAAGTCATTCCTCAATTCGGAATATCCATTCTACTCTACAAGTATACATAATATTACATCACTTGAAATGATCTCTTTTCACGATCGTTTTCTTGCACAGCGTCTTTTGTACAAAGAAAAGACAATATTTACTTCAATGGTGGTCGAGGGAAGAAAAGCTCCAATTGGAACGCTGGATTCTTTCACTCTTATAATCGATTAATTGTCCTACGTGCCAATAGTACATACGTGTAACTCGGGCCGCGTTCACATTACCTCGGATCTTTATATACGCTCGTTTCCAAACAACGCTAGTGCGCGACATACAATTCTTTCTTTTCATTCTTCTTCATTTTCTTCTTTGACTTTTCACGGACTGATATGTGTGTTACGAGTTCCAAAAAGCGCCAAGTGTGCGAGGAAATGAAAAAAGAGTGATTCGTGGCGGCGAATCAAGCCAGTCGTACAAGTCGAAAATTGGATATCTTTCATGATCGGCACGCTGCAAAAGAGAATGACTATCTTTCTTACTCTTTTGAATTCCTTCGAGAAAGAGAGGGAGAGAGATCGAAAAAGTTGCAAAGAAGATGGGATGAATTTCGGGGAATTTATGAAGCTGACTTTTGAACTTTTTTATGAGAAAGTTTCGAAGTGTAATTGAAAATTTGATGGAAATATCGTCGGCAGTAAGTTAGATGATAAGAGCTTTTACAAGCTAGAGAGATTCATATTTGAAACAAAACTAATTAACCTCTTGACTCTTTGAACTATTTAAGTACATCAGCACCATTGGTGCATTGTAATGAAGGATGTCTGCTCTCGGATGTCCCATCCCCACAGGTCATTTTATGTAATTTTCTAGTTCTTATTATTTCATAAAAAATAACAATATTGATATTTTTAAGCTTTGGAAGCATTAGTTCGTAATTTTCAAGTTGGAACCAATGGAATCTTAAATGTAACGTACAGTATTGGAACCTACTGTTACGGATATTTTTCGAATTACTGATCATCACGACTTGCGCGTGGTTCTTGTCCAGTGAAAATCCATCCCTCAACTACATCTATACAATGACTTTTCTTGTAAATGTAAATTTTACGCTTTTCCTTGCTACACAGTTTGCATGCTTTCTTTAACTTAGTAAGTGTTACTAGTGCGCGACACTTTCATGATTGTTCTATTCATATCACCGTCATTTTTTTATATATAAATCGCTCACTACGCGAGTAAAATACATAGTTTATCAACAACGTTAAGTCTAAATCATTTATCTTACTCAAGTTTGAAGTAGCCGTCAGCTTTCTAATGCGTTGCTTCTTATCTCCTTTCTTGCATATTACCACAAACAATTGGTATTTTTAGTTGTTTTTAGTTTAAGCAAAATTTGAATTATAATTCACACGTGTGCATAAGTTTTTTTAGATAAGAAGTTACAATACGATAAACGCATTAAGTATCTGAGCTCTTATTTATGTTGCCAAGCAATTATCAAACTTGAGTAAAAGCAAATGATGAAACGACTGATTTTACATCGCCTTCAAATAATAATTACAGGTGACTTTTTCTCTTTTACAAAAGAGAAATATAATTAAAAAATAATAATAATAAATATATAAACATAATTCATAATTTGTTTCGCGAATCGATTTGAATTAATAATAATATGTTAATAAAATCATTAATAATATTAACCGCATTTATTTTTAATCTTGATATTATTTATATATTTGCATTAATTTTTGTTTATTAATTTGATTGTAAAATTGGAACAACTATACAGAACGACGTAGGAATTACATCATACGCACGTTATCATCCAAGTAAAAGTTCTGCTCGATGTTTATACCGCTTCGATCGATCAATTCTTTTACTAGTTGGAGCGAACGAGAGAACCGCATATGTCTGTATGTAAAAAGAACGTTTGGAAAAATATGTTTCACATTTCTGGCAGTTGGTCATTAGAGCGCTTTGTATATGGTGTATACAATATAGCATGGCGAATCAGCGGTGCTAGGGCAGTTCTCAAGTCTCGATAGTCTCATTCGATAATTCTCGCGCTTCAAGAAGGTATTCACGAACGTTTCTAAATAGTTTTGTTCTCTTTCAACGAATATTTATAAAATACAAGCGCACGCACTTTTTTGTGCATACTGCGTTTTTATATTACTAGCCAGTAGTCAACAAAATGTACAACTCAATAATCGATTTATCGACATCGCAATGAATTAATCAAAGGAAAGCTCAATAATCGACAAAGTAATGAACAACGAGCGGCGATCCGTTTATATCGGGTAAAACGTCTCTTAATACTGGAGACGATGATTTCACCTGAGCGCGGCGACGATCGTCGTAAGCAGCAGCAACGCCAGAGACAAGCTCGACATCGACGAGTGCGTCCGGCTCGCCGCCGAAGAGAAGCTGCTCCGCGACACTTTGTTCCTCACCAACTGTCCTCGTTCTACGGCGTTCGACTCCTCGCTGCCGCCTATCTCGCCGTCCTCCGACAGCAGCATCGACAGCTTGTTGCGCTGAGGTTTCCTGGTGCACGGCACCTTCGGGTCCTCGTACGGCCGCAATATCCTCGGGTAACTCGACTCCTTCGACGGTTCCGGCAGTATCGCTCCCTTCGTGCTCAGACAGAGGGGCTTGAATGTGCCGGTGCGCATCGCTTCGGCGAACGTCGCGAAGTTGCGCTCCCAGTCGTAGGTGACCAGGCGCTCTTCCAGCGTCATACCTTTCAGCTCTGGGGGCGAGATGATCTTCAATGGGCTTGGACCTCTGCAATTACAAGAAAATGACGTTTTCATCAATAAATCGTGTTCGCTATAATATTGTTCTCATATATCCCAGCAGTTGCATTATTGCATCGATCGGACTAGAGGAAATCCAGGGCGATCAATGCTAAAGCCACAGCCAGCAGAGTAACGTATATAGAAATTGAATTTACAAAGATGTGCAAGTGTACTCACTCGAGTTTGTCGATGCCAAGGCTATGGAGGACTGTGGGCAGTGCAGGCAGAGAGTAACATAGCGACAGATCGATCCTCGGGTAATATAATGCGGACACAAGGCAAGTCTCTTCCTTCGTAGTAAGGCCACCCAGCGTAATGGTCTGCCTTGTCTGTGAGGAGTAGGTGCACTCGGCTATCAAGTGGTCGCCCTGTAACAACACGAAAACAAACAAGACACGAGGCCAATTTTAGTACTGCACATCGACTACATACACACTGTTATTAGTTTTTTATTCATTTATGTTTCGAATTTCACGTTTCACAATAATGTTGAAATTTTTGGCGCCAACAAGTATAGTAAATATATCGATAGAACGAGATAAGAATATTTTATTAGATTTAAAAGAACTTACCGGCATCACCCTGACGGGTCGTTGGAGTCTTCTGTACTCTTGATAGCTCGGATCGTAGCTGGAATCGGAAGCGATCGGTGGCAGCTCCTTGCCACCTCTGATTTGCCTGAGCCGGACTTTTTTGCCGAGCTGGTGGGTGTGCATGATGACGGCGAATACGTTGACGCCGCTCTCGGGCACAGTCTCGCCGGTGCAGTCGGCTATGCAGTGACCCTCCGATATGACCTCCGGCTGGCCGGGTGGTATGATGTGACGCCAATTAGGATCGATGCCGACGCTCAGCACGCCGGCGTCGTGGGTGCGCAGCTTGTCCGTGTACGTGAGCCTCATGCCCGAGCTGTCAGTGACGAAGGCGTCGAGCTCCGGATTCGAGTAGTGCGTCTCCAACATGTAGAAGCGAGGACCCATGTATGGATCGAGAGCGTAGCCGGCCTCCGGAGGATAATTGAAGCCCTGTGAAACACAAGAGTGGAAACGTTGCGTTTTGCTTTTATTGTTTTTTTTACAAGAGATTTGATCGTGCTCTCCTACACACAACACACGCGTACACTCTCAAGCAAATCACAAGTACACTTATATAAAGAATGAGATGGACATGTGAATCTGGGTGGTCTTTATATACTCCGCTTCTCTTTTCTCCTGCTCTACACCAGTAGCGGGTACATTTTATTCGTACGCCATGCAATTTAGTTTACGCAATATGATTCTCTGTGATAATTAAATTAATGCAGTAGTGATGAATTTCAATTTGAAAAAAATCATCAATCGAAGGTATAAATCTGTTTCACATTCATGCTCAGAAATAAGAAGGCAAACAAGAACAAAAAAAGATTATAAGATAATACGCAGTAGCACCCCGCCTCAATAACTATAATAAGCTGAATTCTTCAAAGCTGCAGCAGGTACATCTTTGCCACACCGATTATTTTATCATCACATCACTCGAGTTTTATTTCTTACTCGCTTGGCCGGCAGTATAGTATATTGAGACAGAAAAAAATGCACATAATTATACATTAATATGTATATAATCTGCTTGTATTATGAGTAAACTATACGTATTTTTTATAACTAATGAATATTATTGTTAGGTGAGTATAGTAGAAGAGTTAGGTAGTGAGCTACCGAGATCGAAAAGTTTCGGCTTGCGGAGTAGGAGTCTGAAGGCGTTCCTAATATACTGACCCGACTTAATCAATGCAGTAGCAGCAACAGCAGTATCAGAATCAGAATATATAGATAGAGAAATCTCGAAAAGCGATCGTAGAGATGCGACCGTAGCAGGGCAAAAACACGACAAGGGCTTCGCACGGAGCTCACGTTTCTCCGAACGGTTTTTTTTTCTCTGCTTACATTGGTATGCATTGCGACGCGAGAAGGATTATCGCATGGCTAACCAAAGTTTTGCTCCCAAGCTATCTCTCTCATTCCCTTTCTCTGTCTTTCTCTCTTTTCATTTTCTCTGCTTGCTTATAAACACGGAAATCCGCGCGCCCAGTGCATAGACGCGACGAAATAGTACGGATGATAAGGTTTTTTACGGACGGTATACCTTATTATAAGGAATAATTTTGTTCGTGTATGCACGCTGAAGTTCCGCACGAGCGACAAGAGTTATTAGCGCGTCGGTAAAGTACTCTTTGCAAGTGCGCAAAAAGAGAGACAAGTTCGAGCTCGTGCGGGCGTCTCATCGCATTATACATGCGAAATATAAAAAATTTCTGTGCGTCGTATGTAACACGTGCGTGCAACATACGGAGCAAGCAGTGTTTCTTCGCCGAGAGAGAAAGAAAAAAGAAACGAGTCCCGAACTAGTGAATAGACGAAAGTTTAATGCTTTTCAGTGATGTCATACTTTAAATTATACGATACGCTTTCATACCTGCAGTCTGTTGAAAGAAAAAAGTTGCTGTTCGCTACAACGCACCGCTGTATACATTCGCCTGGATGTATGTACTATCAGACGCATGAAAAAGAGGCGATCCGTCAAACGTTCTCAAAAAATTGTTTGAAGGACTTTTCGCAACGCGAATGAACGAAAGAAAGATGCACATGTATGTTTGAAAGAAAAAAAAAGAAACGTCACGTAGGAAAGCACGAAAATTTGCGGCGATGTACGGCTCGAGTCAAAGCACAGCATGCATTATACGCGCGTATACGTTTTCCGTGTGTCAGAGCCTGGGCAAAGACAAAAACGGATAAACTCGAGAGTGTTAACTTGTGACCGGAGTATAATGCAGTATTGAATGAAGGATGATATCACTCGCGTGCTTGGGCACAGGCCGAGCTTTACATAAGCGGGATACTCTCTTTCATCGTGAGCTCGGACCTCGAGCCGGCAATAAGGTACGTCTTTCGCGAGCGAGCGCGAGTAATGTTTCATCTCCCGGACGACCTAATTCGTATGTGCGACTGCAGCTCATTTGATAAGAATTTTCAGCTCGGAAAAAATTTACGGAAAAAAGTGAGGAATATATAAGTACACGCGGCGTGAAAGCTTCGAGTCCCGGTATAAGCTTTTTTTCCGTTTTGAGAATATGCTTATTCGAGTCAGTTACAGGATGTTGATAAAACATGTTCGAGGGATTAAATATTTAAATTACAAACATTGAACGAAAGACTTATTTCAATTGAACCATGTCCATCGAAGCGATTACAAAAAAAAATTTAATTAAGCTTTGCCCTAACTCCCAAGCCTATATAAATGACAATAATAAAATCCCAGTGACCTGGTCAAGCGAGTCACATCGTTTTGCGTGTATCGTGTTCCACGGGGTACAGACCACCTACGTCCGACTTTCTCATGTACGCTTGGAAATCGAACTAATTACAAAGCCTTTCGATACGGTGCATGGGGCACGAGCGAAGCTGGCAAAAGTAGCTGAAAAAAATTTCTGTCGCGCGTGAACTAAATCGTGCAGGCAGGATAATAAGAGAACCAAGAAGAAGGATCGTAAAAGGAGAAAAAGGAGCAGGAGGAAAATAAATGTAAATGTGAGCGCATGTAGAGGCTTATGTAAATAAAGTGCAAGTATATACAGGAGACGTGATACTGACCTCCGAACCAAGATTCCAGGTTGCAGCGATGGTATTGCATTGGGCGTGCAGCCAGTCGGTGCCCGAGCAGCTAGTGCCGTTGGTTTTCTTAGCCTCGATGAGCTTGGCCTCGTCACCGCGACACTCGTACAGGGTCATGTGGTGAAGGTACTCCAGGCCGCCTTGAATAACGGGCTCGTACTGCAACAGACACGGGCAAAACAAACCAATATAATTTCCAATTCACAAATTTATACGCGTAAGCGCCTATATGCTAATGAGACGCAAAAAGGCAACACATCGTAAGGGCACGCTCTATTCTGCTGCATCTTACGCGCATGCATTATTTATATTCATGTATGTATATGTACTCTGATCTCGTAGACGAAAAATTCACCCGCGCAAATACATTCGATAGGTGCCGCTATTGCAGCGGCCATAGATCACATATGCTAGTTGTGCGCGGCCATTTGATTTTCCGTTGAATCGTGGGATTTACAAGCGGTAGCATACCGAATGTAAAGTGAAATTTCTTTTCTCTAATAATTAGAATGGATGGTAGCTAGCATTTTGGAATTTTATAAGCCATAAAATTTGTGTTTGCACATATTGCCAATATACACACGGTGAATCATTTATATCGATTCAACTCGCTACTCTCGCGATCGAGATAACTCGAGTCGAGAGTTTTGGTTATTGGATATAATGCGAGTATGCCGCGCTGTCTGTATTGAGTGTAAATATGTAACTCACACGTGAATTATGAAAAGTGCATTCATCGTCTACATTCATCATTATCCGAGTATATATACGTATACGCGTGTGTTCTCAAATTTAATTTGTGTCCCGTAATAACACGAGAGAGGCGAATTCGGTTCGATTAATTCGCGTCGATTTATATAGAGTGCGCGGATCCCATGGTATACAAATAATGATGCGAAAATTCGTCGTTATTTATTCTCGATTTCAAGGCATTTTCCATTTAATTAACGATCTCCGACTGTACGTATATATAAACGCAGCCACGAAACCGAATTTAACGAGCTAATATAAACAGACTGAAAAAGCAGTTACGTGATATACCGGCGTACGCGCGCGGCTTGTGACAAAAAGACCAATGAATAGCTAAGTACGTGATACTTGCTGTGTTATGACTTTAAAAAAGAAAAATCAGCCCGATGACCGAGATACAACTTTTCCAATAAACCGGTAAATTGGAAACTTTAATTGTCAATCATATGCCCATTGGCGAGTAGCGATCGCATTTAAAGGCTATACTTTCTTATTTATGGTATCGAAGGTTTTCAACGATTTTTTCCTTGCCGATATAATCATATAAGAGAAAATATCGAGAGAAACACTTACCCTGATGACGTGGTGCTTGCGCAGAATCTTGGGTAAGCTGAACACACGACACTGCAGCAGCGTGTCCTGATCCATTGGCAAGCGGACCTGCGAAAAGAATAATGACGAAACAATTATAGCAAAGTCTCGAAGCAAAATTGCACGCGTTTAATGCACGTGACGGCGCAAAAACGTTCAGCTGTCGTGCTCGAGCAAAAAACCTCATGCGAAAGTTTATTCGAGCGGGCGTCCGGCTGAGATGTACTTAAAAATTTTAATGCACACTTGGCCCGAAATACTTGGTGAAATAATAATTCTACGCAACAATAGCCCACGGAAAATTCTCATGCTCTCGCTTTCTATCGAGCAGCCGAAGCCCGAGAGGGCGCGCACATGGTGCACTGCGGCTGCGAGTAGTACGCGTATATAGATTGTGGACGGGCGCAAAAACGCCCCATTACGTACACTACGGGCTGCAGCAACAACGCGAGTAAATCCAATTACATCAGCCGATCCTCATTACCCCACCGACGCACCAGCTCTCTTTCCCGTCCTCTTCTTCTTCTCTTCTGCTTCTCCTCTTCTATACTTAGCAGTCCAGCTCAATTGGGCTCGTGAAACAATAACACGAAAAAACGATCGGACCTGGCCGCGGGCCCTTCCCACGCGACCGGCTGCATCGGACGCGAGCCTAGGTACCTCACGTGCCTATAAACCTACAACTCTTGCATTTGCTCAAATCCGCGACCTCTGCGTTTCTGCAACTCTTTTTATCGCTTTGGGTCGCGCTCGCCATCTCTTGTAAATCTGGCCGTTGTAAAAGTCCCTTGCTCGCCTCGGTGGGGAGCTCTTAATTGTACTTCTCACGACGATTTTGGAAAAATATTTTACATCAACTTGACTTTTGTCAGTTCTAATAAAATCTGTTATTACGTATCGCGAACTCGAAGTAAATTTTCTCTGCGTGGCGCGTCCACGCGGCGCTCGAGTTATACCTCCACGGATGCGAGGGCGGATTTTTATCGGTTGGCCAAATGCTGCATTGTGCTCAGGCTGCGAAGCGTCGAATTTATGATGGTGATAAATTCAGGCTCACGCTGCATTGCTAGCATAAAAACTATTCGTTCATTAGCGTCCTGGTCCGCCTCTATCTTTTCTATATATTTTATACATATATATATAAAGTATATCACGCGGAAATTACAGTCTTTTTGCGCAGCTTTTACGTTTATATTAACCAGAAACGCGTGGTATTTTGCATCATTGTACTGTACCTATCGGACATAAATTGGTAAGACGCTTCATATTTTTCCTTCTCCTTACGAAATGAAAAACTTGGAAAAAAAAGGAAAAAAAATAGCTGTGCAAATACTGCAGGAGGTTGCATAACATTCATGCTGAGGATAAAAAATGTGAGCAAAGATTGATGGTGATCATGGCTATTTGAAAATCATCGAGAATAGTTATAATATTAATTTAAAAAACTTTGTCTCATCGGGATAATATTCACGTCACATATTACGATAAAAAATGTCAATAACTTACCAACGCATAAATACATGGTTGGTGCATACTATATGTTATGCCATCGTATTTATATTTTAAAAGTGCTCTACAACTCATTAAGCTGAGGCATTGCGCGTTCGCCTTTCAATTAAGGGACCGACTGCTTGAGTCGAGCGTTATGACGCAATCGAAAAACTTGACCCACAAAAAAATATCTGGATAAGTGAAATAAAAATCGCCGAATTTAAGCCTTCTGCGAGTTATTCAGACGTACAGATGATACAGCTTTTTCAGAACTTTAATAACGATGATGTGTTTAATACGTGCTGACTATGAATCAATGTTTTTCAACTAATCACATTTAATTTGACTCTCAACGCGATTATACACATATAAAATTATAATTTATAATTTTCGATAATTTACGATCTTTAATTCTTTGCGCAACTTATTGCGGCAACGATAGAAAATTTTTAACTTATCTAATTGGCAAAAACGTCAGTCTATTTAATGTGATCTAAAGTCGCAGTTTCAGATTTAAATTTTAAAGTTATTTCACCCCATTTTTAACAGTATCGAGAAAGAAATAGTTTATGTCAATGAATACTTCATGCCCCTGTAAATCCAAGGGAATGGAATAGAATTTATATGTGGAACCTTTGAGTTGAGTTTGCACAATCCAATTTATAAAGAAAATAACCAAGACGTGTCCTTGCACATATATTGAGAATTTTCAAGAGATGAAATAAGTTTAAAAAATTTTGATCTTAAAGCACGTGGCCTCCGTTGCTATTGATATTAAGAAATTCATAGGGATAATTGACTTGATTTTTAGAAACAATGGTGCAGAATTTGATAGAAATTTAATAGAAATATATTACGTAAAAGGATTGTAATGCAGTACGATACGTCAAAAAAATGTTCTAAGCTTTTCAGTTCACGACGTTTTTGGTTGATATTATGGAGTGATCATTCATAGAATCAGAAGCTAATTAAAAGGGTCTTTAATTCTCTTTGTTTGATGCTTGAATGCACTGTTTCTGGAAGCGTTGAACATTAACATGAATGTTCAATCATACAATGTAATAAAAGCTCGAGTTATTGTATATATGATCGATTTAATATTAATTATGACAGAGACGTATACAATTAGAGACGTTTGATTGATTAATCGAGGGTGCAATTTTTTCGGTTCATTGAACATCATTAATTGAACTTGGACATTACGTATGTGAGTTATAACTATCGATCTTTAAAATCGTAATAACATTTTCTCTCGCACTTATTTGTTGCTCTTGCGAACGAAGCTGTTTTCGAATATGCAAATGATTTAAAAAACTCTAAAAGCTTACCTGTGCATTTAGCAGCTCCCAGGTATGCAAAATGGGCTCCGGCTCAATATTGCGAGCATTAGTGCCCTGGTGGCTGATTCGGCGTGGCTCGACATCACGTTGAACGAGATAGAGTGGACGCATACCCTTGACTGCTCCGTCAGCCGGAAGTACGCCGGCTGCCGATGCTGGCTCGTCCACGTGGTATTGCCATACAACCTGCAGCGTATCGTTCTGTAAAATAGAGAAAAACGAGGATGTGGTTAGTGACAATGATGTTGCATTTTGCTTCTTTCTTAAACTAGAGTTTGCTCTTTTTGCCTCCTCCTAGAGGAAGCTCTTTGATAGGCTAAAACAAATTTTTGAACCACGTGTAGCAGGATAATTTTATTTACATATTTATAATCTTGATTGAATTTCCAATTTTTTTTACCTTTTTTACTTTTAATAATTTCTCATTTAATTACCATTAGCGTTTATACAGAAAAATTGAAATATAAACAAAATTTTTAGAAAGAAGCTAGTTGCGGTTTTTTAAATTAATTTTTGTGTAAATGATCTGCCGTACATCTAAGCAAATTATGCGATAGAAATATTGGAAATAAAAATCGAGCCCGTTTCCAGGACGCATACTGTTCAGGAAAAATAATTTACTCTGTACCTTTATACTGGCCAGGGGATTTTTCAATGAAGAGATAAAACGAGGAATATATTTTCAACTACACGGCTACTGGACGTATAATGCGATTTTGCACGCCATAATTACACAATGCAGCGCTGCAGGAGGAGGAAAAAAAATAAACGAGAGATGATTCTCGAATAGTTAATAACGCGCCTGCTACTGCAGTTGGGTAATTAAGCCCGAGTGCATGCGTAAGTAATTGCAGTTCAAGGGTGTATTAACGCGCGAAGGAGAGAAGAGAGGAAAAACGGGACGTACGTATATATACGCCTGCTCGATTCAATATAAGGATATAAAGCGCCTTATTTAGTTAAGTTCAATGCAAATTAAGCGCAGTTTAGGATCTTTGCGACTATATGTCGTATGGACGTATAAGCCCTGAAAATTGAATTCAGTGGCTATTCTTCTCTTCACTAGTTTGCATAATTAGTTTCTTTAGAAACGTGGACAGATAAGTCAAATCAAGCAAACTCCTGACCCAATTCCTCTTTGTTCCTTTTCATCCAGTCAACAAACGAAAATTTTAACGTATATAAATCTATCTAAAAAAAGAGGTCGCTTAAAGAATTTATAATATTAATTTCTGAATCAAATAAAATATCCCGAAATACGAGTGGAGGAATTCTCTCTGATTTTTTTAAATCGTAGGAAGAATGAAAAATTGCCTTGGAGTCATTGCAATGGAAAAAATTCATTCAGCCAGACAATTATGCTGCTTTTTTGTTCAAGTGCACAGGACAATTTCATTCCCGACTCTTCATGCGCTAATAGCCGGCGTCAAAGCTCTCGTCTTTTTTCAGTAAAAACTGCAATTCTATAAACATTTTGGCAATGACATACGAACAAGAAGAGATTTATGGTATAACATGTCTGTCGAAATCTACGATCCAAAAGTTATTGTCAAAAAAATATATATAAAAGCTATGTTCAAGAGTTAAGAAGATGCATTTTTTAAAACACAGGAGACCTTTACAGGAGATTTGGATAGCTTGTTATAACTTTAGGAACAAAAATAAATAAAACTGCAATGTTCCAATGGTAATTTGAAAGAATCGATGAGTTAGTAGCCAATTAATAAAATAAATTTAAGTGTTTAATTCTTTTGTTATGCATTTAATAAGAAAAATTTGAATGTTAATTATGCAGAAAGAAATTCTTCCTTTCGCTGAATTAAATTCATTAGCATTACAGAGTTGGGGTGGCGAGATAGAGTTTAGCTTTAGCGAGACGCAATCTTTTGATATAAAATTTTCAATGCCAGATTGCAAGCATGTAGAGGGTGAAAAAATAATTTTTTTTATTAAAACCATCGTACTTGCGAGCGCGGGCGCGTGTAATCTGGCGGGCATTTATAAGGCCGAATGTACTTACACATATAGGTATATAATGAAAGCTTTTCACTGCACCTAGGAGAAGCAGCAGCGCAAAATTTTATCAGCAATGTGGAAAAATGGGAAATAATGAAGATGAACAATGCGAAAAAGCTCTTTGCAATCACGGATTCTTCCTTTCTTTCCTTTCGTTCGATTTTTTCATCCGCTCTTGAGCCATGTACGTATATATACTTGGCAAGAGTGTACGAAGCGAAAATGCCCTTTCTTTTTCATTTGTAGCAACTCCGTAGGTACAGTTGGATTTATCGCGGCTAGTGGTCATAATGATACGTCGAAATTAGATGGGAGCTCCGTGTGTACTTCCGTGTAAGTGTGTAAGTTGGTATGTGTGCAGTACGCGAATATAGCCAATCCAATCGACCCAACCCTCGCCACCCCCATCGTATTTATACGTATGTGTTTTCTGTTGCTCTCTTTGTGCTTGTGCATGAGTTAATAAAACCACATGTAGCTGTGCAGCTGTAAAAAATATTTTTCCAAATTTTTTTACTTTCTTCTCCGATTCTCAGCCTATTTTATTATCGACTTGATTAAATTTTTCTTGGCGATTTCAAAATTCACATGGACTTGGAATCACACGAAAAAATATTAGTGAACGCGCGGCGTATATTAGTGTACATGAATTAACTTATGTGCATGCATGTAACATAGGTTAGTCATTATCATTATAGTTAACATTATTAATAAATCATACGAACGGAACAGAAAAAAGTGCATTAATAATCGTTGTAGTGGATGTTGCTATAGACACATATACTCAGACACACACACACACACGCACGCACACACAGATATATGCATGCGCAGTTGTCGACTCGAGTTCGACGTTCGACGCCAGCGGTACGTAGGTCGCTGGGTACGCGCGTGCGACGACGCTGGCGGCCCCGGATCGATGACAAAAGCTCTCTTGCGGGTGTAGTCTTGAAGAAAGCATCAGCGCGCACACAACGCTGCGATAGCCCTCGAGTGTACGTGTAGCCGATAGCCGACTATATTGCACGGCTCAAGCTATGAGAGTAGAGAGCGAGGTCGATGAATTTAACCCGTAAATAGTCTCTGATTATATGGACGATAAGGCCGAGGAAAACTTGAAGCTTTCTAGCTTCCATCTACCTCTCCCTCTATCTCTATCACCCTGCCAGCTCCTTTACCCCTCTTCTTTCACCTCATCGTCGTCGTCAAACGTCCCCGCGTCGACCCTGCTGCTCGTCCCACCTTCTTTTTTAATTAAACTCTCTTTCTCTCTCTCTCTTTCTTTCTTACTGTACTGGCTGCTTCTTTTGTCGCTTTAATGCGCCTTTCAACTAATTGCGAGAATCCGTTTCTTCGAGCCGCTACTACTCTCGAAACTTTTACTGCGTTGAAGCATAATGAGTAATGATGAAATTTGGCTCTGTGTATGCGTAGGTGGATAGAGCTGATTATTCCTGCATATACAGGCTTATGTACCGTTTGCACCCCCTTGTGATTCGTCGTATAGTACAAATTATCGAGGCAAATTCTTGGCAAATTTCACCGAGCGATCTCGACTTCTCGCTGATCCACGCGTACATGCTATATGTGAAAGGTTGAGTCGAGTAACGATCTCCGTCTCCGTCTCGTGTACGTGTGTCTATATCTATATGTACGCATATACAGTTGCTGTATTGTAAGCACCTGCTTACGTATGTGCATCGATACGCTCGCACACATACACACACACACAATATGCACAGAAATTTTTTTTCAATCAAAATTTCTAAGAGCTTGAACAATAGATTCATATGCCTACAGGTAAACGCCGCGTGCGCGTGAGTTTCTCGCTCTCCGCTGCGCGGTTCATTGCGCGGTTAGTCACTACCATATAGGTGCATGCGTGCCGATGAAATTGCAGTCGATCGGACGGCTCGTTTGCATAACGCGTATATACACACACGCACGCTCGAGAGCCCGTGTGCGTAGATATATAGATACACAAACGCACGCGCTATCGTATCGCAGCTCGCGCGCTCGCGTATACTTTTATTCTCAATATCCTTTATTTCATTTCCCAGTTGCGCGAACTGCGTGTGTTTTTTATATATACGTATATTGTGTAAGCACTCACACTGAAGCGCAGCTCGCACGGTACACAAGCTATTCTCAACAAGAGAAATGAATATCTAAACTCATCTTCAAAATGAAATTTTTCCCTCGCCAACAGAAAACCAATTTCCATGCGCGCATGCATACTTATAAAGTAACGTGTAGCGGTGGCTATATGTATCTATGTGTGCACAGGCAGTAGACACACACTCACACACACATGCACACACATCATCGTAATCGCACAGCACACATATTTCTCAGCTCTTTTCGTCATTTATTTAAATTTTATATACATAGGTACTCTCTCGAGCACTTACACAAATATATTATATACAAATGCGAGTTCATGCAGACACACATGTATGCAGTCGACATATGTAAATCGAAGGAAAGAAGCTAGCATTGGAAACGGTAAATTACTCCCATTTCGATTCAGTCAGTAGATCTGCATCTCGCATAAGAGGAGCCAAACTCACCCGAGCAACGGCGCGAGTGTGTACTTGCGATGCATATGTGTGTCTGCTGCACATTCAAGAGTGTGAGAGCATAATCTACGTCGCAAATCGATCGCAAGAGAGTCACGTTATAGGTGCAGAATCGTACAGCAACATATATCGTAGCCAGATATGAAGATGCGCATCTTCGTGAGGGAGAGAGAGAGAGAAAGATCTTGGCCTTTGATCTTATTTCGATATCCGTACGTTATATGTATGCGCTATGAACGTATGTATGGATGCTGCCAATGGGCAAGGCTGAAAAGGAGCCGAGCGAGGAAATCGAGTCTTGGCTTAGATCCAAATCCCTGATTTGTTATTGACTACGTGCGTGCGAGTATATATATGGGTAAGGCTCAGAATTTTTTAAATAAACCTGCGCTCGTATGTCACCGATCTTGACGCGCTTTTGGTATGTTATAGTACATGGTAAAAAAGACCCAAAACCAAAATTTTAGACCCCCTCCCCCCTCCTACCCCCCACTTCCGGTATAAACGTCCATTTTCTATCTATATTTTTTCTGAAGGCCTAAAGCAATTAAAAAATCTGAAAAAATTCACAAAAATACTTTTCAACAATCCAAACAATCTTGAATT